ATTAATGATCTACTTGAGATGAATTTTTTGATAAAATAAACCCAATTCGAGAACCCTGGATCAATAAATAAAGCTTTTATTCAGCTGGAAAATATAATAATTCATCTCCCATTTCGAAATTAGAATTGTATAACATTTTTCTTGATTTTTACAGTTTTGCTTCTTGATACTAGAGTCCGCCTTCCTTTTAACAAGAGGGCAGAAGTTTCAAATAAAATAGATTGACTTACAAGCTTCAAGCCTGAAATATTGATCGCGTGTTTAACGTCTTTTCAGATTTGGGTTCAAGATGTCAGTTTCTATGCAGAAAAAATTAGCTTCGCAAAAGGTGCCTTTTTTGAAATAGTGGACTAATTTGCCGTTGACCTCTGCGATAGTGAGCTCGATTATGTTATAACCGGTTGCAATATTAGCTGTTCTGAGAAAACAGTAATTGATAAAAACTTTTTGAATAAACCAGTTGAGATAAACAAATAAACAAATAGAGACAAAGCTACTTTTAGCAAACAAGAAAAAACAATTGATAGAATAAAATTTTAAAATGATAGACTAAATAATTGATGCTAAATTTATGTTTCGGCTCTAATCATATAGCCGAGAATGTTTCATCAATAATTATGTTTGAAAGCATAACTTTGGCTTTTAGGTACAATTAATTAAACCATTCGAGATGCACAAAAGGAAAAAACACTTAATTTCAATCATAGGTGCGCAGTAACTGTAAAAAACAATTTTTCAATTTCTTGAATACGTACACAAGACTAGCATGCAAAACAAAACAAAAATTTCTAATGAAAAATCGCAGTTGTGAAAAAATTATAATCTTAATAATTTTAAATGTCATTTGCGTTAATTATCTCAAGTTTCGCGGCATGTCATTGAATTGTTTAACTATCCTTGAGCTAGAACTGGCTGCAGTAAACGTTTCCTGTTAGAAAAAAAACTAGGATGTTTTTTGTAAAATGAGTTGGAGCGAAGTAAAGGACGCATAACTACACTTAGCACTTAGAATGAAAGGCCGTCCACGTGTTTTCCATCACAAAAATTGAACTCTCTCTAAGCAACCACCACCAACAAAGCGGATAAAACACATGACTTTGAGTTACCAAATAAAAAAACATCAGTTCACAGATACTGAAACCTAGCACCAATGCTGGGCACTAATTTATTCAAGTTAGTTTCATAAACTGGTAAAATAACACCAGTATTGGCCTATAAAAACCTGACCATCTTGATTTATTGAACCTATCTAACTATTCGAATTTTAAAGAACATTGATTGCCCCCTTAAGCGCTTTGAATTTCTAGAACAGTTAATGATCTACTTGAGATGAATTTTTTGATAAAATAAACCCAATTTGAGAATCCTGGATCATTAGATGAAGCTTTTATTCAGCTGGAAAATATAATAATTCATCTCCCATTTCGAAATTAGAATTAAAAAACATTTTTCTTGATTTTTAAAGTTTTGCTTCTCTATAGTAGAGTCTGCCTTCCTTTTAACAAAGGAAACGAATTGAACTTAATCATAAATACTGGACCAACTTGCCGTTAACCTCTGCGATAGTGAGCTCGATTATGTTATAACCGGTTGCAAAATTACCTGTTCTGAGAAAACAGTAATTGATAAAAACTTCTTGAATAAATCAGCTGAGATAAACAAATAGAGACAAAGCTACTTTTAGCAAACAAGCAAAAACAATTGATAGAATAAAATTTTAAAATGCTAGACTAAATCATTGATGCTAAATTTATGTTTCGGCTCTAATCATATAGCCGAGAATATTTCATCAATAATTATGTTTGGAAGCATAACTTTGGCTTTTATGTACAATTAATTAATCCATTCGAGATGCACAAGTGGAAAAAAAACACTTAATTTTAACTTTATAAGTGCGCAGTAACTGTAAAAAACTATTTTTCAATTTCTTGACTACTTACACAGGACTAGCATGCAAAACAAAAGTTTCTAATGAAATATTGCAGTTGTGAAAAAATTATATTCTTAAAAACTTTAAATGTAATTTGCGTTAATTATCTCAAGTTTCGCGGCATGTCATTGAATAGTTTAATTATCCTTGAGCTATAAATGGCTGCAGTAAACGTTCCCTGTTAGAAAAATTAAACTACGATGTTTTTTGTAAAATGAGCTGGATCGAAGTAAAAGACGCATAACTACACTTAGAATGAAATGCCGTCCACGGGTTTTACATCACAAAAATTGACCTCTCTCCAAGCAACCACCGCCAACAAAGCGGATAAAACACATGCTTTTGAGTTACCAAATAGAATAACATCAGTTCACAGATACTGAAACTTAGCACTAAAGCTGGGCAACAATTTATTCAAGTTAGTTTGAGAAACTGACAAAATAATACCAGTATTGGCCTATAAAAACATGACCATCTTGATTAATTGAACCTATCTCACTTTTCGATTTTCAAAGAAAATTGATTGCCCTTAAGCGCTTTGAATTTCTAGAACAATTAATGATCTACTTGAGATGAATTTTTCGATAAAATAAACCCAATTTGAGAATCCTGGATATTTAGATGAAGCTTTTATTCAGCTGGAAAAAATAATAATTCATCTCCCACTTCGAAATTAGAATTATATAACTTTTTTCTTGACTTTTACAGTTTTGCATCTCGATACTTGAGTCCGCCTTCCTTTTAACAAGAAGGCAGATGTTCCAAAAAAATAGATTGACTAACAAGCTTCAAGCCTGAAATATTGATCGCGTGTTTAACGTCTTTTTAGATTTGGGTTCCAGATGTCAGTTGCTATGCAGAAAAAATTAGCTTCGTAAAACGTGCCTTTTTTGAAATAGTGGACTAACTTGCCGTTAACCTCTGCGATAGTGAGCTCGATTATGTTATAACCGGTTGCAAAATTACCTGTTCTGAGAAAACAGTAATTGATAAAAACTTCTTGAATAAATCAGCTGAGATAAACAAATAGAGACAAAGTTACTTTTAGCAAACAAGTAAAAACAATTGAAAGAATAAAATTTTAAAATGCTAGACTAAATAATTGATGCTAAATTTATGTTTCCGCTCTAATCATATAGCCCAGAATATTTCATCAATAATTATGTTTGGAAGCATAACTTTGGCTTTTAGGTACAATTAATTAAACCATTCGAGATGCACAAAAGGAAAAAAAACACTTAATTTCAATCATAGGTGCGCAGTAAAAAAACTGTAAAAAACAATTTTTCAATTTCTTGATTACTTACACATGACTAGCATGCAAAACAAAAGTTTCTAATGAAATATTGCAGTTGTGAAAAAATTATATTCTTAAAAACTTTAAATGTCATTTGCGTTAATTAACTCAACTTTCGCGGCATGTCATTCAATAGTTTAACTATCCTTGAGTTATAACTGGCTGCAGTAAACCTTTCCTGTTAGAAAAAATAAACTACGATGTTTTTTGAAAAATGAGCTGGAGCGAAGTAACAGACGCATAACTACACTGAAATGCCGTCCACGGGTTTTGCATCACAAAAATTGACCTCTCTCCAAGCAACCACCACCAATAAAGCGGATAAAACACATTATTTTGAGTTACCAAATAGAATAACATCAGTTCAGAGATACTGAAACCTAGCACTAATGCTGGGCAACAATTTATTCAAGTTAGTTTGAGAAACTGGTAAAATAATACCAGTATTGGCCTATAAAAACATGACCATCTTGATTAATTGAACCTATCTCACTTTTCGATTTTCAAAGAACATTGATTGCCCTTGAGCGCTTTGAATTTCTAGAACAATCAATGATCTACTTGAGATAAATTTTTTTGATAAAATAAACCCAATTTGAGAACCCTGGATCAATAGATAAAGCTTTTATTCAGCTGGGAAATATAATAATTCATCTCCCATTTCGAAATTAGAATTATATAACATTTTTCTTGATTTTTAAAGTTTTGCTTCTCTATAGTGGAGTCTGCCTTCCCTTTAACAAAGGAAACGAATTGAACTTAATCATAAATCATACGTCTAACCGCTAAAAATCAAATTTGAGCCTGAACAAGTTTCAAGACCTTTCTTGAACAAAAAATCATCGCGACCTAAATAAGAGTTTTCATTACGTTCACCAAGTCTTTATAATAAATGATGTGGTGCGCGTGTTAATGGGAAGTCTTTCCTACGCCACACGTCATTTGTTTATCTCGTTATGAAGTTTACACGTCATATAGGCGACTCGATACGTGATCTCGCTCTTTCGCTGAATCTATGTGAGACCTGGTTACATAATTGGAGACTTTCACTGCTTGAGCTGCTATAGGGGACCCTGGAAACGAGTTGCAAGGGCTATCTTCGTGCCTTCCCACAGCGATGTCACACCACTCCCTTTTACAAAAAGGAAGAGTAGAGGATCAGTATTCCAGACGGTAAGTTGCTGCCGCCGCCAGGTCAAGTTGCTGCCGGTATTCCAGACGGTAAGTTGCTGACACCCCTCCCCCCCCACTGCTTAGAGGTGTCTGTTATCACAGAGAAGTGCTGTTATGATGGTTAACTGGCTCAAGTTTCCGCCACTCAGTTCAGGCCAGAATAGTTCGAGGCCATTCATGATCCGTGTTCATTGTCTGCAGGTAAGGCAACAATTGCACTTTATTAAATTACTTTATGCATATTATCAAGCAGGCACAGAACAGAGGTTATCTGTAAAGAGCAGAGCTTCTCGCTTATTTGTCCCTTCCGTATTGTAAGACTTTATTCAGGAGAGAAAGGACCAATAGCTCTTTGCAGATAATCACTGTTGTTCACCTGCTTAATAGGATGCATTTGTAATTATTTTTCTTGGGTTGAGACCTGTTACTTCACCAGCAGACAATGAACACGAATCATTGAAGTCTCAACAGATTGCTAAGCAAAAAATTACTCCAAGGCGATTCTAGGTGAATCATAACAACCTATCTGATGTGAATACTCAGGCAACTGTCAACTATGCCATTTTTTCTTAATTTTGAATTTCAATTACGATAGGCGGCAATATAATTGGTTCTTAATTAATTTGAAAACACTTCACATTGTCAAAATTACAGCTTCTACATTCGCATGATTAGCAAAGGAAAACGAATTTACCAATAGCTCAATTGAATTGATCCCACAGACCATGAATAGTGGGAATATATACATAATTTCGTAAAATTGCAAGATATGTACATCGGATATAATTAAAGCTCTTCTTTCGTTCGGGTCAAGTTTGATTTTAGTTTTTGAGGAGCCGCGAACTCGATCTGTTTAACCAAGGCAACACATGATGGTCTCTCTTGAAAATCAGTCGCACACATTTTGCCAAGTGAGCTCAGCCGATTTATTATGAATTGCACATCTATATAAAGTTGAAGGTATATCTTTTCTGAGTCGCTCAGAAAAACAGCAGAATCCCCCGTTGCTTCCCCGCTCGCCAGGTTTGAAGAGGATGCTAAGCTGCTTAAGTCTTTGGAACTCTTAAGATTCCTAGAGCTTCTAATCTTCTTCAGACTATGTTCTATCTTCTCGACACTTGAGCAGATTTCTTCCACTTGCCGTCTCATTTCTTCGCACAGCTGGTCGGCCACTTCATGCAACATATCTCGGCAACAATCTGGGCCAACTCGAGACAGTTGCTCCTCGAAGACCGTCTCTAAATGCGACATGACGCTCTTAGCATAACCAGACTCTTTTTCAGGCGGTGCTCTGTTAGTCTTGCGATAAAGTCGCGGTGTTTCCCCTATCGGGCGCATTTTATCCTTCAATTGCGACGCAATGGATTGAACAGCCTTCTGGACCAGAACGTCCAGCTCCTTTTTCAGTTGTGTCCTGATACTAGCAAAAGGATCGCCAGACGCCCTGTTAACTTTGCATTGTTTCAGTTCTCTGTAAATGCGCAGGTCAAAAAGCGTCTGCATTACGGCCAGAAAAGCAGTCACATCTGAGATAAGGCACATGACCAGTTTATCCAAGGTTTCTACCGTCCTAACCTTCGAATTAGTGTCTGCCTGTTTTGAATTTGATATAGATGTAGTGAAATTATTGTTGACATTATTGGATGACAGTTCTGAAGGCTGCATTACAGAAACATTTGTATCTGTGGCTGTGTTCGCACTATTCTGATTCTGCTGATGGCTACTTTGAAACTGAGGAGGAGTGTAATTAGGCGTGGCTTGTTGCACCCACTGAATGTATCTAAGACAGATTTGGAGGGTGAGTTTCAAAAACTTGTGACATAAAGTGTTTACATAGGCCTCCTCTCCCCAGCACAATTGGACACACTTAACTACTTCTCGCGACACTTCCAGACTCATTCCATTGTTATCTCCATCATTGACTTTTTCTTCGCTAAAAAAGAGAAAGCTCATGATGTTCATGGGGACTCCTAGATAATGCAACCTTGTTGCATGCATAGTGTATGTAATCTATTTATGCGCGGCCTATAATTTTGTTGAGTTAAATTTAAGAAGTTAAAATTCGATGAAACATATATTAGCTTTTCACAACTTCTTTTTTGCTATTATGCTTTAATTTTTTTGATACTTACGTAGAGTAACAAATTCATCGCTTTTTTCTCACCATAGTAGGTATCTACATTGGGCAGACATGGCATGTTCGACTTTGGACACTACTTCCTGGAACACAAGCTGGAAGTAGACTGGTAGACTCCACTTATCGCATAGGCGTCTGTACTTGTCACTCCTCCGAAGCAAATTCACTTGCTCCTCACTGTGCAGAACTTGTTCTTCTAAAAACAACGTAACTATGTGCCATTTCACTTAAAACAAAACAAAACAAAACAAAACAAAACAAAACAAAACTCACCCATAAGGTTCCAAAGAAATAAAAATTTAAGTCGATTTAGAACCAAGGTTTCAATTGAGCATAGTACCGTGGTTTTATGGACAAGATTACTCAATAACATAGTAGTGCTCAGCAGTAAGAAATCGTCAAAACCGTAACTAAAACATGAAGCTGGCAAAACTTCTCAAACAAAAACAAACGTATTTCGGCTCACCGAATTGGTTGAGGAACAGCATGCACTGTTTGTAGCACATTGCGAACTGTCTCCAGTTGACAGGCATGAACAGCTGACCACAGTTCTTCAGCAGAAGATCCACTGCCTCTGCAAACACAGCCTCCACCTCGTACTGGAACCTCCTTCCCATTCCCACGCCCTGTATCGAATTAGCACTCTTTTCATCTTGAATTGAAACTTCCACATTTGATGTTAAATTTTGACAGTATTTAAGCTCCCAATTTCTTTCAATCAAAATACAGCGAAGAATAACTACTTTGGAAGGATAAACACTTGCGAGGACACGACCAAAAAGCAGCTCTATCAAGTGACATAAGTATAAATAAGCCTCGAATTAGCAAAAACTCGGCAAAGTGTCGGATCAGAATCTGCGTCCTAGCAAAATTGAGTCTCACGCACTTACCACTCAGCCACAGATGCTTAAAATCCCCAAAAACTAGCCAATAATAGCGCAGCTGCATATGCTAATAAATTGCCAATTCGATGCAGCAAATTAGCAAAAATCTGCGAACTAGCAAATTTGAGTCTCACGCACTAACCATTCAGCCACGAATGCTTAAAATCCCCAAAAACTAGCCAATAATAGCGCAGCTGCATATGCTAATAAATTGCCAATTCGATGCAGCAAATTAGCCAAAGTCTGCCAACTAGCAAATTTGAGTCTCACGCACTAACCATTCAGCCACGGATGCTTAAAATCCCCAAAAACTAGCCACCAATAATGCAGCTACATATGCTTATAAACTGCCATGCAGAAATAGCATCAAATACAAAAAGATAGAATTCTGCATGTAAAAAAACGCAAATCATAAAGCCACATTATGTAGAAATTATGCATTTCAAAAAATTGCGATATATATATTGAGTTAGAAAATTTGTGAAATCAAGATTTTATTGTTCTGACTTTCGATCCGAGACATAGCCTAATTTTTACTAATTCGACGCTTTTTTTAAGTTTTTCTATCGCACTTTATAGAGCTTATTTCGTCGTGTTCTCGCTAGTATTTGCAACGCGCAGTTTCGCCATTGTGTGAAAAACCTCTATGCCCAAGGAAGCGCTAAAGGAAGTTTTCCAAGTATAAAATTTGTAAGCCTGAATGTCCTTTTTTTAAAGAATGTTACTCGATCGCGTTATTCGCTCGAAATTCGACTGAATGTCAAAAATAGACTGAATCTCAAAATAGACTGAATCTTGCTCGAAAATAGACTGAATGTCTCAAAAACAATCTCAAAAGCTGTCGAGGAAAACTTGTCTGAATTTGTTGGTTTTTAGACTTAATTACAAATTTACCATATATATGTATGTATGTATAAATATATATGTCCTTAAGTTGGTAGATTGATAACTATATGCAAAGAAAAGGCCGCTGTTACAATAATGTACATTCAATTATTTAGTATCTGGAAAACCTTGAAAGGTTTTTTTCCCAAGTTTTCAGGTATTTTCAGAGATTCTGGCCATATTTTAGCTATAATTTGTGCTTGTTATAGAAAAATTAGTATTCTGGAAAATATAGTTTTCAACTTCGATGCAATATTTGGTCGTATTCTTCAAAATTTTGAGCTAGATTTATATTGCCCTAATGACTGGATGTTTAAGCTAGATTTTATGACCTATTGACTGACAGTTAGATTATTGCTTCGACTTTTTTCTCCAGACAAATTTCGATTTTTTCACTAGCCATTTTTGACGGAGCGTTTTATATATCATTCAAAAAGTATTGTTGTCCTGAGCTCAAATTTGAAAAGATATTTCACCTGTGATCATTTTTCGTAAAGTTATGGGGTTTAAAGATAGCCAATTTGGGACAATTAACGCGCGAGATATTTCGCGCTATTAATGGGCAAGCAGAGAGTTAATCCGTCTTAAAATCGTTCCAAATTGGTTGAAAGAAGCTTATTTGCCATAACTGATGTGTTACAAGGAGCGAAATCTGTCCTTTTCTACATTATATGGCGTGTGGGGGGATGATTTTCATAAAAAATTTCAATTTTTAGAAAAAAGAAATTTCATTTTATTATATTACATTTAATTTTTTAGTGTTATTACTGCTCCATAAAACCTTAAAAGGCAGTCGGAACATTAAGGGCTTCGTCCTGATACGAGCAGTCTTGTTATCGTTTATGTTGTTTAGAAAAATAGCTTTCCTCGGTTTACTTGATGAATTAAAAATGCATCAACTGAGTAAACTTATAACTATTCGAGTGTCAAAGCACATGGTATCAATAAAAAGGTGCAACTAAATATCAAAGGTGCAACAAAATATCAAAATACCTTATTGCCAATTCGATGCAGCAAATTCGCCGCAGCAAAAATTGTTGCTTTCAGTAGCAACAATGATTGCATCTTAGTCGCAACAAAAGTCGCAACAATATTTGCGACTTAAATTGGAAAAAAAAAACAGAAAGTTCGTACTTAACACATTGCTTCGCAAGTGTAATAAAATGTAACTAGCGTGTAACGCACCTCTGGTGCTTCGAAATTTTAACAACTCATTAAAGCCGCATGTATCGAAAAAAAAGATCTGCATCATTTGAGTGTACTCTGACAGCACCAAATTACAGGGTTCAAAACAGCAAATTTTGCAATGTTTTATATTCAAGTTTTCAAATACAAATTTTGAAAAACCATAAAATTTTGTGAAGTTTTATATAAGTTCTTTGAAAAAAACTCAAAATGAACCAAGAAACTCCGCATCATAGAAAGTAAAAGCACTTGAGCAGTCGCATTTGGACGCAAGATTTGCAACTCCTGCGAGTAATCCTATAGTACCCCACTACAACGCTGGGAAATTCAAATTTTGAGAAACTTCAAACTTAGGTTTTCTAAAAAAAGATGTTTTTTGAAAACCAGAAAAAAGTCACACCTCAAAAACTACCACGATTTGAGCAGTCTTATTTGAAGGCAATATACGCAATCCTTGACAGTACTCTGACAGCACACAACTACAGGGTTGGTAATTTGAATTTTGAGAATTGTTTTGCAATTTGAGTTTTCTGAAAATTTCTGAAAAATCACAAAAATCGTCGTATCTCGTAAGCTGAAAAAACTTGGGCATTCGTAAATGGAAGCCAGATTTGCCACCCCTGAGATTACTCTGACAGTCCCCAACTACAGGCTAGGATAGGAATTTCAAAATTTGAATGAAGAGGTTTGATTTAATTTTCGGAATTTTTTTTGAAAAAATCACAAAACGTCATATCTGAAAACTAAGAGGTTTTGAGCTATCATATTTGGAGGCGAAACTCGCAACTCCTGAGAACCTGAAACTACTCTGATAGACCCTACTACAGACTTGGGAACAAAAAAATTTTCAGAGAAAATTAAATTTAAGTTTCCTGAAATTTTTTTGAAAAAATCACAAACCGTCATATCTGGAAAACTAAAAGATTTTGAGCTGTCATATTTGGACGCGAAAATCACAACTCCTGAGATCCTGAGACAGACTATTCTGACAGACCCTACTACAGGCTTACAATTTTCAGAAAAAATTAAATTCAAGTTTTCTGAAATGTTTTTAAAAAATCACAAATTGTCATATCTGGAAAACTATAAGGTTTTTAGCTGTCATAGTTGGAGGTAAAATTCGCAACTCCTTAAAGTACCCTGAGATAACCTCACTGTAGAGATGAGAACTTCAAATTTTGTGAAATTTTCAAATCTAAGTTCTCGAAAAATTTTTCTATTTCTATATCTAAGTTCTCGGAAAAAATCCTAAAAATGTCATATCTCGAAAACTACAAAGATCTGAGCAGTCATAATCATAGGCAAGATTCGCAACCCCTAAGAGTACCTCACAGCTTCCAACAACAGGGTTAAGATTTTAACAAAATTTTTGAATTTTCTAAAATCGAAGTTTTTTTGAAAATTTATGAAAAAATCATAAAAAACGTCATATCTCAAAAACTACAAGGAGAAGTGAGATTTGGAGGCAAGATTCGCAATCCCTCACGGTGCCCTGACAGCACCCAACTACAGGGTGAGAGTTTCAAAAATGTAGTATTTTTTAAATTAAATCTTCTAGAAAATTGCCATATCTCATTAACTAAAAGGATTTATTTATTCATATATGGAGGCCAGAATCGCAAAACCTGGGAAAACCCTGACAATATCCCACTATTGGTTTGCTAACTTCAAACTTGATGAAATAAACACTGAAAATAAACTGGAAAATTGAAAAAACCTTAACCATTGCAATATACGATAAAGCTTAAACGTGCAAAAATTCTTTTGTTAAACATGCAAAAAGAATACGTTGAAAACGCTTAAGCATGGCGAGATAGTGAAGCCCGCATTCAAATATATAATAGATAGATATTCAATTTTATCATGTATCAACTTAAATAACCATTTTGTTATTAGACCTCGATGCACCTTTATAATTGAACCACAGATCTATCTGACCCGTCATGTCATAGCTTATATATATAACGAAGTTATAAGTCTCTACCGTAGTTTCGCTTCCTGGACGAGAAATTGACGATAACTGGGCTGACTTGTTGAGTGCAGTAGCAAGAAATAGTGCTTTTTGGGGGAAGAAGTCGAGAATGTGTTGGAAGAGAGAATGGAGAGAGTTGGTGTCCACGTGGCCTGCAGACATCACTAGTTTGTCCTTCAGATAGGGATGCACAAACTTACTCCTGTATACCTACAACAACAGATATGCATATAACACACCGAAATTCAATGCCCATCAGTATAAACGAGTTGAATAGTCTAGCTTTGGTAGTTTCTTCTGTTTTATACATTCTGCTTGGGTGACTAAAGTGTGCAATATAAATCACTGGAAAAAAATGCATTCAGAGACGAGTATGCTACGTAAAATACAAGTTGGCATTTCATTTGCGTTTGAGTTATGATTTCTATTTAAGCAGCCGAATTCCTTATTCGGTGTTTATTATATCAGCTCAACTACGGGCACTGACTCCTGTAGAACCTATGCCTAGTAAGCATGTCAGTACCTGGTATGCACAGTTCATGCGCTCGATGGTGCAATAGATCTGGAGAAGGGAGAGCAGTGCTTGGTGGTCCTGTGAGGCCACACTCATCTGCAGACAGGATCCCAGCTGGCTGAGCAGGTGCTGCTCCACTTGTCGCACTCTCTCCTCCACAGTCTCGCTCAGAGTCTCAGGGTCACATGCCGCCACCTGGCAACCAAATTATACAGTCAATCACAAGTTCTGATTCTCGTTTTCGTATATCGGTATAGTTGGTTGCTGGCCAGCCTTGACATCAGCTTCGGATACAATTTTACGACGATTTAAAAGAGGCCGAGGGTTGGTTTGAGAAACCGGTATTGAAAAGGTGTCCAAAAAACATTAAAACGTTGTGCGCAAACCTTAAGTTTTCGAGAACTCAATTCAAGCGATGAAAAACTGAAACTTTTCAAGTTGATTGTGAAATTATTCGAAAATGGTTTTTTAGCATGACCGATAAAACTCTAAAACAATTCAGTTTTAGGTCAAATCTTGTACCCATTCGGTAAATATTCATTGGGCAAGCAATTCAAATGATGGAATATTTTAGGCAGATTTTTAGGGCTCGCATTGATTCACAAAAATTAAGCACTCAATTGAAACGATGAAACTTCCAAGGTTTTAGCTTCATTGCTTGAAAAACATGTTTCGAAACTTTAAATTTTCAAGCGAGCAGCTCAGACGATAGACCAAAAACCAAGATTTAGTTGTTTCGTTCCGATCATTGACAATGGTGAGGAACTTTGTATTCGGGTGTTTTAGTTTTTTTCTTTTTTCTTTGCTTTCCACATAAAGTCAGGTACCACAAATAATCATCGGAAAGAGTCGAGTGATATATCATAGTATAGCCCTGCCCTTTCAGGCGTGAATCAAACGACATTTTAATAAATTCAAAAAATGTCCCAGTATCGGGAAAACAGGTTTAGAAGTTTTGATTTTTAAGTCTAAGCTCGACAAAAATTAGGACGAAAACCACAAATCAGAAAAAAAATCAACATTTTTCACTCATTATATTAGAAATATTAATTACAACCCCATATAAACTTAGGGTAATTTTATTAGAATTTTTAAGAAATTGCGGATGTCAGCTTTGAGCATGTAGGCAAAAAGTGTAAGCACAGTTGTTAACGGGAAAAGAAGTTTTGTTCCCGATTTCAAGTCACTTGCTCTCGTAAGTTGAACCATTATTATACACAGAGGCGAGGCTGCGCTTCGCAAACACTAGCGAGAACACGACAAAAAAGCAGCTCTAAACACGAAATAAGAAAAAGTAGAAATAAACTTCAGTTAGTAAAAATTCGCGCAAGTCTCGTATTCGATCCTGCGACCTAGCACTTATGAGTCTCACATCCTTCCCACTCGGCCTGGAAGCTTATCCATCGACAAAACTAACCACACATAACGCAGAAAATAGATGCTATGAAATTTCCAATGCTACAGATCGTGATTATAGCAAACAAGCCACAAATTGAGCACTTTTCTTTGCTCGTTAGATTGAAAAAAAGTAGGTTCATATTAATACACTAAGCTCGCAAGTTTTATAATCAAAAGCTGACAGATATTAATGTAAAACAGAAACAAAATTGAAACGCCTTTGCCTTTGTAAAAATGTTGACTGAACAACCTGTGGGAGTATAAGTGGGAGTATAGTAACTAGAATAAAAATCACTGAATTAAATTTCTGGTAACATTTTTCATTCAATTATAGAGTTTCTGAATGGTTCAAAATTACCTTCGAGTGAAGACTGCTGAGCTGGAGTGACAGCCGCTTTAGGGTTCCCATGTCCTCGAGGGAAAGAGATCGACCCTGACCAGACTCCCGATCGAACAGACTGTGTTCTAGGAATGCGAGGATTGTGTAGACTGCCTTGAGTGCCATCAGTTGTTCCTTGCGACTACTCAAACGCCTCTTCTCTTCTATCACTCTCTCTGCTTTGTCTCCCAACTAAAGTTTTTATAATTGATTAAAAGCTACTCAAGCTTTTTGAGTGAAATTTCGACTTACTGGGATTATAAATTTCTTTCACACAAGCGTTATAAATCATCAGAATTACTAACGTCGGATCTCCTTGGTCAAACCCAAGTATGCGTTATAGATCTTCAGAATTAGAAAATTCGGGTCTTGATCAAAACCCCGTAAGCGATAATATCTTTAGGCAAAGAAGGCAACAAAATTATGCGGACAATGATAACGCTTTGAATCACAACTTCATTTTCCATTTTTGCAAAAATATACAAGCTGCCCTCGATCAGATTATTCAATTATTATTATTCCATCTCAATTCCATTAATATAATAAATAAATCTTTTGAGAAACTTCTTGTTCAACTACAGTAAAAGCTTAAAAAACTGTACGCAAATTTAATCCAACGTTGAGATCCAGTCACTTGGGGAGTAACACAAACCTGGGCAACTTCAGCCCTCACTTTCTGCAGCTTTGAGTGCCACTGACCAATGGAGAATCCACTCTCTCAATCACTGGTTGCAGTCCACTTAATGTCTTGGACAGACCCACAAAGTGTTCATAGTCACAATTGATGACCTCAATCAGACTCTGTTTGATCTTGTTGTGGTAGCTCCTGAGGTCTCCCAGTAGAGAGTCCAGGTCCATCAGTCGGCCATGGTTGGACACGAAGGAGTCGGCATCAAAGCCCTCCCGCTCGAAATCGACTGAATTGAAACAGAGAGAGCTCTCTCGCTCGAACATACGAGTTGACATGCTGGCTCTGAAAGCAATGCCCCTGTCCTATATCATACTATTGTGTTACCTGAAAAAAAACCAAACCATGGAACGTTATGTCCAATTTATTTGCATTATAACATTTAAAACAATCGAAGCGATACAACAAAAGTATAGCATGGCCACCACTGATTGAGAAAATTGAGAAAAGATGTCAACTACACACGTTTCTTCAAGCGATTTTCAAACTTTTGTAGTTCAATTTGAAAAATAGGTCGTGAAACACAATCTAATTACTAGCGTTGAAGGCGCATTGAGACTAAGTTTACCAAGAGGTCACTAAGCCGAAAATACTTGGGTAGACCCCCGATGCGCCGAACAAGTAAAATAACAAATTTTGACCCGTAAAGTTTTAAAAGAGAACTAACATAAGCCCCAACCAATTTGTTCAAAGAAATTTTTTAAGCTTTACAATCATGAATGGATAAAAACTTGCAAGACAGAAAACACCAAATGAAAAAATACCACATAAATTACTTTGTTTAGTCAATTTCATAGAAAACTGAATTCAAAATTTTGTTCAATACTATAAGCCCCTAGCGAAATGAATTTCGACCAACACACAAAAAATATATATTATGTAAGGACAAGAAAAAAAAACGATTAATTTATAACATTTCAATTTGATATTCAAGCTTGAAATGATTCGCAAAAATGCATATTTACCCCTACACTAATGGGGCAAACGCACAAAAATGATTGATCTTCCATAACAAAGCCAGCTCAATTTCTGATAGACTTGCATGAAAAGTTGTTTAATGAAAAAAAAACAGTTTCCGATTAAGACACTTGCTTTCGCAAAAGTAAACAGAAGTTACAGAAACCAGGCTACAATCGAAATCTACAATCAAACGAAAAACAATTAAGAGTAGAATCAGTATGAAAACGCAAAAATGCTCAAAATATGTCGTTTTCAAGTTCTTTGAATTCCAAGATCAATTTATTATTGAAACTTTTTAATAAAATTCACCTAATTTGAGAAAATTGGATCAATAGTTAAAGCTTTTATTCCGCTGGGAAAAATGAAAATTGAAATCAATTGTCGAAATTAGAAGTTAGTCAGGTTTTTAAGACCTTTACACATTTGCAGTTAAATAGTAGAGTTTGATCACGACCTGAACTTTAGAAAATGAATTAAGCTTCAAAAAAATCGAAACTGAAACAGCGAAAAATCAATCTTTGAGCGTGAACAAATTTTAAGACTTTTTCCAGAAAAAAAATCATCATTGACTAATTAAAACTTACATAGAGGCAAAACAACAAAGCCTGTCGATCTCAACCAATCGCTTTACCCCTGCACTTATGAGCTTCTGCAAGAATGTAAAAGAAAATTTATATAATAAAATAGCTCAATGTCTTTCAGATGGTAGAAAAGTTGTTTATGGAAAAAGACTAGTTCCCGTTTACAAGACATGCTAACGGTAAAAAAAAAACAATACAAAACGGAGCAGGCAAATTTACAGCGGATATTCAACAAACCATATCTTAAAGCCGAAATTACGTCAGAATAACAAATTAGATCAGAATTATGTAACAACTAGCATGTACCGCACCTTCGGTGCTTCAAACAGATATAAGAGCATAAAAGTTGCTTCAGCATAAAAAATATCTGCAAACTTTTAGTGTACTCGACTGCACCCAATTACAGGGTTGGTAATTTCAAACTTTTTTCAAATTCCTATTTTGAAAAACCATAAAAGCGGTCTCTCGAAAATGGGCCTCTGGAGAAATTTGCAGGCCAGATTTGCAGCGACTGAGAGTCCCTGAGAGCACCCTATTATAGGGTTAAAAATTTTAAATTTCGTGATTTTTTTAAACCTGTTTCCCGAAAAAATTTTAAAAATCATAAAATCTCTATCTCGGAAACTAAAAGTATTTAAGCATTTATAATTAGAGGCAAGATTTGAGACGCCTGGGTGTACGCTGACAATAAGGTTGTGTCTTCATCAAGTTGGTAGTTTCAAATTTTGTGAATTTCTTTGTAGATAAGTTCTTTGAGAAATTTGAAAAAAACGTCACATCTCGGAAATTATAAGCAATTGAGCAGTCGGATGTAGCAAGATTTGTAACTCTTGAGAATACCCTGACAGCACAAATTTTGAAAAAAAAAAATTATTTCAAGTTTTCTGAAAACTTTTTTGAAAAAATCACAAAAAACGTCAATTCTCGATAACTACAAGGATTTGAGCACTAGTATTTGGAGGCGAGATTCGCAATCCTTGAGAGTACTCTAAAAGGACCCAGCTACTTGGTTGGGAATTTCAGATTTTGAAGAAAAAAATTTAATTTAAGTTTTCTGAAAACATTTTGAAAAATTAACAAAAAACGTCATTTCTCGAAAACTAAAAGGATTTCAGCACTAATATTTGGAGGCAAGATTCGCAATCCTTGAGAGTACTCTGACAGGAACCAATTACAGGAATGGGAATTTCAGATTTTGAAGAAAAAAATTTAATTCAAGTTTTCTGAAAACTTTTTGAAAAAATCACAAAAAGCGTCATTTCTCTAAAACTACAAGGATTTCAGCCCTAATATTTGGAGGCAAGATTCGCAATCCTTGAGAGTACTCTGACATGACCCAATTACAGGAATGGGAATTTCAGATTTTGAAGAAAAACATTAATATAAGTTTTCTGAAATTATTTTTGAAAAAATCAAAAAAAAAAACGTCATATCTCGAAAACTACAAGGATTTGAACAGTCATATTTGGAGGTAAGCTTTGGAGCTCCTTAGAGAACCCTAACAGCACCCAACTACAGAGTTGAGAATTTCAAATTTCGAGAACAATATATTTGATTTTTATAAAAAAAGAATTTATAAAATCACAAAAAACGTCATATCTCGAAAACTACAAGGTTTTGAGCAATCATATTTGAAAGCAAGATTCGTAATCGATGAGAGTACGCTGACAGTACCCAACTACAGGGTTGGTAACTTCAAGTTTTGTTGATTATTTTGTAATTTGAGCTTTCTGAAAACTTTTGAAAAAATCACAAAAATCGTTTTATCTCGTTAACTATAAGGATTTGGGCATTCAAAATAGGAGGCCGAATTCGCAACCCATTGGGAAATCCGGACAACATCCCGTTATTGGGCTGCTTATTTTAAACTCTGTGAAATAACCACTTAAATCAAACTGCAAAATCGAAAAGAAAATTCGTAATCATTGCAATATATGATATAGCTTAAACATGCAAAAATAATACGTTGAAAAAGCTTGAACATGGCAAGACAGTGAAGCCCGCATTTAAATATATAATAGATAGAGAGATCTTAACCATTGCAATATATGATATAGCTTAAACATGCAAAAACAATACGTTGAAAAGCTTGAACATGGCAAGATAGTGAAGCCCGCATTTAAATATATAATAGATAATAGATTTAAATATATAATAGATAGATAGATAGATAATAGTCTAAACTCTGTGAAATAACTACTAAAATCAAACTGCAAAATCGTAAAGAAAATTCTTAATCATTGCAATATATGATATAGCTTAAACATGCAAAAATAATACGTTGAAAAAGCTTAAATATGGCAAGATAGTGAAGCCCGCATTTAAATATATAATAGATTTCACGTCACAGTGACAATCTGTTGTTATGTTGCATAACAATATCCAATTTTCGGCTTGCTGGAATGGTAATCCTATTTTTTGCTTGTTGGCCCTTCGCCAAATTTACAATCCAAATGAAAATACAAACCTGATTAGCAACTCTGAACCACTAACGCGTGGGAGGATATAGCTCAATAGGTGTGCTAGGGATTTAAGCTGACCAGTTTTTAAGCAGACCAATCTTTTAGCAGACCCAGAACAATTGTCAAGTCAGAAAGCTAACTTGAAACGCGGCATGGGGATTAGCGACCGCTTGCTCCGCTGCGCTTCCACTCAAAATGAGTGTTTTTGTGCGCGTAGATCTTTGTTTTGCCGCTACTTTAGACTGTTGTGTTTTTGAAGTTGATACTTTTGTTGACAAACCGTGAGTTAATTGTCTTAATTGGGGAAGTTTGACCTAAGACTGAGCGTCTTTTTGAGCCGGTCAATCAACCATGCATCAGTTGATTGCGTTGGTCTGCTAAAAGACTCATTTTTCACTTTTTATGCTAAAAGATTGGTCTGCTAAACGATCGGTCCTCCTCAAAAGGTACTTGAAGCATGTTTATAGCCCATTGGAATTAATTTTAAATTATAAAATCGTGGACCAAATTGCCCCACGAATGTGACACAACAAAACTCAAACGATCAAAACTCGAAATTTCAGAGTGAAAAAAATGACTGACCAAATTAGTTGGCTATTCTGTCGTCTTTTAAATATCCTGATTGAAAATATGGGCTATTACCTTATTGATTTGCTAACGGGAGAAAATTTGGTAGATACAAGGTTAGAGTACAAACCCTCCTTAGTAGCTTGCTTTCTCTATGCAACGATCACTCAATCGAAAAGTTTTTTAAAATATAACTTTTTTCTCGACACTCATTTTTGCTCATTTGCTTTTTTTTTCATGAAAAACTAATCAGACGTTTTTAAAAATCTTTAAGTATGAAGAGACCGAAAAGCTGTAAGCGGAAACTACTCTGACAAAACTCCATCAAAATACCATAAGATCAAAGATAAAATTGATTAATATTTCACAACGATGAACGCTCGCTTCAAGCTGACTTTACTTGGAACTCACATGATGAAAGACCAATTATAGCTTTAGGATCGTACAAAACTTGAGGTTTGGTCGACCAAGAACAGAAAAACAAGAACAAAAATTCATATTAAAAGGTAGGTCCGACCAAAATGGACTTCATTGCACAGCAACCCCCTTCCACTCGCCACGCTACTGCATCTGAATTGAGCGATCTTCAACTTTGGCCTCTTTTAAAGCACGCCATTCGCGAGCACTAACATTCAGAGAAACCTAACGCTTTAGACGATAGGTAATTAACAATTCGAAATATAGAAAAACCTGATTTTCATTGTATTTTTTGCAGCAGAAGCAAGTAGAAATATGTCTTCAGACCGTGTAAGG